AGTGCGAGCACGCTCACAGCTAGGCAGCCTCTCATGAGAGTCTCTTTAACAACATAGATTAGAGTGAGAAGATACAAACAAAGATGCTACGATCTATACATCTAATCGAGCAATCACTTCTCTTGCATCCTAACTCTGTTGTCAGCTCACACAACACGTCGATCTACCTAACTCGAGTGTTTTGCGATATCATCGTCCAGCCCAGCCCCCAGAGCGACACCAGACAATTCTGCATCTACTTCTTCTCCACACTTCAAACGATGATGTGAGAGATCGCGCCCAGCGTCATGCACTAATCGAGCCCTTCAGTAGTAGTCACACTGATTGAACGCGCAGTCATAGATGCTATACATTGTACGCTAGAATAGCGCGATGCATTCTCACAAGATCTACAATTTAGTACAGACAGCATTCTAATCTCGCACTTAATTGAACACACTAGTATAAAGACCACGACAGTCCGAGAATGTTGTCCGAAGACAACACAGCGATAGTTATCGATGCGATCTCATACATGGGTCCGAGGGCCTCAGTAATGAACAATATTACACATCGACCTGAGAGATACTTTGGCAAGTCACTACATGTATCTCCTGCATATCACTAACACTAGTATGGTCTTAGAAATTGTATCATCCCTCATCTGCATCATAGATTCATTGACTTTGATGACTAGTACGCCATACTTTCATCACCTCCACTTGATATAGATGTGCTCTCTCTAGAGAGATATATCTGAGAGAGTGCACTAAGCTCGATCACTGCTGTTAACAAGCCAGAGCAAGAGTTAGAAGAGTGGGCTCATCTAATGACAGATAATTCTGTAGCCTAACGGTTAATGTACACAGCAACGACATGCGCAGAGCACGCTCGATGCGACATTTGTCTGGACGATGGAAGAATACAGACACCTATAGTGTCTGTCTAGCTCTTTCGATGCGAAATAATGGAACTCACTACTCTCTATCCTAGCATCTATCCATTAGCGCAACTGTATCTTACTCATACTTGCTGATGAAGAGCACAGACTCAACGTCTTTACAAAGCTCATATTCTGACTTTCACACTTACAAGCTGACTCTCAATAGAAGCTCTAGTTTTAGTTAATAAAGAATTTGACTATAGATATGAAGACATTTAAGAGAGTATATAGGGTATATTATACATTCTTCATCTTAGTCACTGACTGTGGGCAGATAGATATACACATGTTCTCTCATACTCACAATATCTATATATCTCATGTAGAGATGTGCGGGTACAAAGAGGGTTGAGAGATTGTTGGTGACATCTGAGTGAAATACGATCTATGGTACGTTGTGTCTTATTGTGTTATTAGGGGATTTTTGGACTGAGTATTATTTTGTGTACTTATACAGGATGTAGTGTGACTAACATGATATATGACACACTGAAGATTGACATTTTGATACTGCGATATGTTCGGCACAACTTGAGGTTGAACATGGATTGTACGGGTGTTGGAGAGAGTGATAATTGGACACGATTGGTCTGATGATTTAGGAGAGGGTTGACACAGATTCGCTCAGTTAGGTGCGAGGGGTAGTGATATAGACAGACATTAATAGAGCCTAGTAAATACACGGACTAGAAGCTGAAGGATACAGTAAGTGGTAGGATGGTGATAGGGTGAGAAAGAGTCAGAAGGAGACATTGGATCATCGATACAGGAGGATCATCATGAGTATCAGAGATATATGAGAGCATATGGATGTTTAGGAATAGGCTAGGGAGGAGTAGGGACTTAGGTGGACATGGTATGCTTGAGTTTTGGACTAAATGACTGTTTGTGCGGAATTATCATATTACATCTATTATAGTTTGTTTGTTTGTGATTTTGAAAAAAGGGTTAGTGGTGTATATGTTGGCGTATATGGTGTAAGGTTGGGTATTTTTTTAGGTTTGGGATTGGTGAGTGTGTGTAGGATGGGATGGTATATAGTACGGTGACTAGTCGTTGGATGATAGTGCGGTGTGTGATATTATGGGAGACGTCAAGTGGTGACTGACGGAGAGCCTTTAAGTATTGGACTAACAGTACTACAATATAGGTATTTGATGTGTTCATTTTGGCGCTTTTTGGGTGGTAGATCTTAGGTGGTAGTGGTGGGGACTTTGTGGTGTGGACACGGTAGTGACAGATGAACAGTACAAGCAAGGTAGAGGAATAAGAAAATGTATATGCAGAGCACTATCTGACAGGGCATGGCGTGTATATGTAGTATGGAGAGGTAGGTGTACACATAGTTGATAGTATACGTGTGTCATGCGAGAGAGTTATGATTACGGCGGTGATATTGTGTTAGGGCCTATGGGAGATTGGCAGATGGGGTGGGGGGGAATCTTCTTTATTGTCTAATTGGGTGTGTGATCAATTTGGTTTATTGAAGTTTGGTGTATCTGGGCGTGAGTTTGTAAGAGAGGACATGTAGAGGAGTGAGATGAGTGGTGGTTTGGTCTCGTATTCAAGGAGATGAGGTGAAGATGGAATTACTGGTGAGACTACAGGGGGGAGAGAGGGACATGTGTGGCGAGGCGCGCGCTGAAGTGAGTTGAGAAGTGGTATCTAACAGTCAGATGGGATGTGTTGTTATAGCGATTATTATACGACAAAAGTCATTGATTTAGGGTGATCAGTAGATATGTTAAGTACAGGATACTGTATTTATATATGAGGGATTTAGGGTATACGGTGGATCTCAGGTAGTGGTGTGGTGGCAGTATATCATGGGGGTAGCGGATAGGAATATACAATACTGTATTGATATGGGTGCTGGAGTATGAGTTATTGTGGTGTGATCTCTATTGGGGTGAGGTGTGAGTAGACATTATGGAGGGAGAGGGGTGTGTATGTGATCTTATGGATGATTTTTCGTCTTAGTCTTGCATAGTGGCTTGGTGTGACGCGATGACTGGGGAGAGACTCAAGTTAATAGTGGAGAGTTTGTTATCTCTATGCAAGAGATCATGAGGGGGGGGTGCGATATAAGGGCGAAGGAGAGATGTGACACTAAGGCAGTATGATTGGTGATGACATAGGATATGGGTGTACAGGAACCAGGTAAGGTTAGAGGTAGAGTGGAGTGGGTGGTGACAGATGGCAGTGTAGAGAGCAGGGTGGATGTGGAGATGTTCAACTAGATGAGAACACTTGAGGAGTGATGGCGTAGGGGCAGGAGTTGGGACATGTGGTATCACAGGAGGGGGGATGTTAGTGAGGCATAGATGTATGACACATCTACTTACATAAAATGACGATTGAGGGAAGTCTAGGGATATGAGGCGAGGCTGACGTGAGACAGACAATAGGGCGTGTCAGAGTGAATAGGCTAGGTATAGTGAGACGTGGCATGACGGATACTTGACATGTGACACGTGGACTATATGCGCGGAAGACATACACGTAGGGGTTGACGTGAGACAAGAGATAAGGTGATATATTATATGACTACATATAATGCAGATAAGTGGCAGACATATATAGTACACAAATATTATGGAGGGTTGAGTGGGATACTCACATAGATCTTGGGTAATGAGTGATGCGTGAGAGATATTCTATCGTATATATTGGTATAATACTATGATGTGGACGATTGACTCTTTTTTATAAGTGTAGGTGGATGTGACTTCAGATGTATACATTAGGTATATCAGATCAATTATATACTCACGGGAGCGAGTTCTCTTAGAGTGTTATTTTGTGAAACTATAGGATAGGCGACTTATCTGGTATGCTTTGTATTATATGATATACTGTACATATATAGTATTCTGATGAACAGATATTTATAGGTATACATGAAGTATCTGCAGTCTTTCTCATTCGGAGCATGAGTATGACATATTGATCACAGACAACATGATGTATATATGTATAAATATGGTAGAAATATAATATGAGGGGGATACATAAAAATATTTGTTAGGAGATATGTGTCTATGAGAGAGAGTAATATTGGTAACACAGTTGATGTTATATATATGATATGTGTATATTTATATGTAGTTATACGTATATATAATATAAGATGATACACACTTGTGTATCTGAATAATAGTGGAGCACGCATGATATATGTATTACATTATGAGTCTTTTGATATGCAGGTGCGTATGATGATAAGAGATACTATCAATAGTATGAATGGTAGCGGTCGTCATAGTATACAGGATGCGTTCATATGATACAATGGTATGAGATCATATTCTGTTATGAGCTGTAGTGACTATGTACAATCATATAATATATGTATAGATGTATTGTATGTTAAAGGGAAGGTATGTAGTTGATGACTATAGTACTGCATTGTACAAGGATCATATTTAGGAACATGAGATTCTCAGTATTATATGTATAGTGCAACATGTGTGGATGTAGTGCATGGCGACCTGAGTCGTTCACGTGTAGATGTTTTGTGGTATGGGATCAATTGGGTAGTACTACTGAAACTTGGAGGAGAGGTGATGGGGGGGGGACATCTATCGTGTGGGGTGGACGGGTTTTAGGTGTTGGGATTTATATATATGTTATGTTGGTAGTATAGGTAATGGATGCTAATGTAGTAGGAGACACTGTTCCTATTTTACAGATTATCACACTTATATGTATGCTATGGAGGTACAAAATGAATCAGATTTTTATGGTATCATTAGGGTGCGGTATAGAGCGAGATCTATTATTTAGATAACTGAGGAATGCTAGCTGTTACGTCATTTACGGTATGGATGATTTCGTGCTATATTATGTCAATACAAGAAATCAATCTAGTATGGTGAGCGGGGATAAGAGATGAGGTAGGTATTACAAGGATGATTCGTGTTGAAGATATATATGAAGACATTGAATTATATCTATGGAGAGATAGTAATGGAAGTGTGATATAGTTTCGTAGAACGTGGAATAATATATATACACACACTTCTTGGTACATACTAGAAGTATACACATGTCATATACAGTATGGATAGCGTCTTGAATGGGGAGGGGTGTTGGGGAGGGGGGGGTAGGTGGTAATGGGGGGGATGGGGTAGAAGGTAGGGGGGTGGAGGGGGGTGGTGGGGAGGGATGGGTGGGTGTGGGGGGGGGGGATGAGAGGGGTATGTGGATTGAGGGTAGTAGTGTGGAGGGGGGGGGGGAAGTGAATTTGTAGTGGAGGGGGATGGGGATAGTAATATTAGTATATATGGAGGGTTTATTAGGGGGGGGATTTGATTTTTTTGTATTGAGAAGGGATAAGAAATTAATGTTGTATGTAAAGGTGTGTGAGAGGGGGGGGAGAGATTTGAGGGGGAGGGAGGAAAAAATTTGGGTGGGTTGGTTAGTTGGTTGGAGGGTGGGTGTGTAGAGGAGAGGGATATGTAATGTGGTATATTTGGGAGGGGGGTATTGGTGGGGATGGGGGAAGATGATAGAATATATATTTTGGGGGGTAAGGGGGGGGAAAGTACAGGAGGCGACATGCAGAGCTTATTTGTGCATGTTTTTAGTGGTAAGGGGAAACCCGGAGCACCCGGAGGAAACCTATCGCAGAGGACACGGGGTAGAACAAGTAAACCCGGGTCCATTGTGCGTCAGAAAGACCCTTTGTCCAGACCGTGATTCGAACCAGGAGACCTTTTTATGCCGCGCCCAAGAAAGGACATGTTAAAAAGAACAAGAGAATGAAATAGAATGGTTAAGTGAGAGGTTTTTTAACCTGGTACGGAATGCTCAATTCCCGACCGGATTTCATGTTATAGGATCAATTGTCCCTCATGGGAACAATAAAGTATAACTGAAGTCCTCGGCCGCAGCGGGGACCGGCGGCCAGTGTTGCAAAGGCTGCGGTTCCTCAGGGTTCAGAAGGCTCGGCCGCGCCCAAGTGTTCAGAAGGCTCGGTCCTGCCAGTGTTCAGAAGGACTGCTCGGTCCTTCCAGGGGTTCAGAAGTTGGTGCTAAGGGTTCAGAAGAGCTCTCTTTCATCACCTGAGGGGTCGGGAGGTGTAAAGTGAGTTAGCGCAAATGTTTCCCTACCAATTTACCCTTTACAAAAATAGGTTAGGAAATGCAAACATTGTTTTGAGAAAATTGCAAACTACACAAATCATATCAACCCTAGCATTCACCATCTGCACAGTCAACAGGCTCTCAGGCGTTTCATAATAGTCCCAGGGGAATCATTTGTCATTTGGGGTAGCTTCATTGTTCTACGGGGCGAGGGGAGGGGGGTCATTTAATGCGCGTCTATGCTTCTAGTGCACATGCAATATACATGGGGGGGAGGGGGGGGGGGGGGGGGGGGGTGTGTGCATGATGCCAGGGGGGGGGGTAGCGGTGTAATCGAACAGTTCCTATTTTGGAGAAAACGGGGCGGACTGGGTTACTTGACGGTAGGTGTGGAGGAGCTATGTTAGACCAAATTAATATGCTCAACTTCCAATCCACTCACATTTTTCTAATCAAGTCGGCAATTTACAGGAATAAACCCCAGCACCCTTTTCCTCCCCCCATTCCTTCATTTTATCCACAACTTGCTATACATTAACATCTGACGTCTAAAATTGAATTTCACCATTCTCAAATTTGAAATACAAAGATGATATTCACCGAACGTTTAACGGCAAGCATTTTTGACATGGATAAATTTCCATTTTCCTACATGTCCTAGACAAATCCACTGGTTTGTACTCATTTTATGTCACTGATAGCCATTCCAATTCCGTGTAGGCGGATCCCTCCCGTGATTGTTTTCTCTCACTTTTTTCTCCACTTGCTTTTTGAGTTATTCCTTGCAGATGCAGAAGGTTATAAGGACAGTGATAATCTGGGACTCAATTACACATTAATAACATTTATGACATTGGTTATCCCAGCCTCCGTGATGGACCAATGGTCCTACTGAATTCTATTGATTTAACCTTTAATCTGTATGCGATTTAGGCTAAGAAAAATAATAAAGTTGAATTGACTTGATCATAAGATGGATCTTGAATTAGGGCAAAACACATAGATAGAACAGACTACTTCTGATATCCTAAAAAATATTTAGGCAATAAGTATGTACTCATTAGCAAACCGTTGCAGATGGGGACGTCAGCGGGGGGTGCTGCAGGGCATCCCAGTGAAACGACCCGACACCCCTCATGCAATGACACAATGGCCCTCTCATGGAACGCTTCGCAACCGGAACCTCTCACTAACGCTTCCGTGAAAGGAACAATTCCAAGAGATCCGTTGATTCCTTCGTCAGTTACAGACTGTACACCAAACCTGTATTGAGTCCCATGGCGTTCTGTCTGGCCACCTTAATAATCTCCGCTGACTGTTAAAGCCAAAAAAAGCTATCTATCACACACTAGTTTATCTATCAGATGTTCTTTTATTTCATCGCCTGGTAAATAGATTGCAGCGGTTGGCGAGGACTAATTTGTTATGTGTGGTCAAATAATAGATGGACGAATGACACAAAATCACCAACTAACACCAAATGTCACAGAGCTCCACGTTTACAAGTCATCACACTCACTTATCACCGACATACAAATCCCTGGTAAACAACTCTTCTCAGTAGTATAGTTATCACTGCGCAACCATAATATCCTGACCACCGCCATGCCGGGATTGATGAGCAACCTGGGGTCGCTTCCACAACTACCAATGAAATTCATTATATTTCGTGACGGATGTCAGACTTCACGTCTCGGGCTCGTTGGATGGCCAACTTGTCTGATGGGACAAGTTATTGTAATTTGCATCAGTGAGCCTCCCGATGATTAACCCCAATGTAGTCATTTTTATATATTTTTTTTTGTTGCGCCGGGAGGAAATCCACTGTCCTAGGCAACCACAAATTAAATTCTTTTGATTGTACCTGATAGCGGTCCATCATTCCCACCTTCTACATGGCATGGGGCGAGATAAGGCCAGTTACAATGAATACTAATACTTGGCATACTATTTTATGTGCAGCTCACGACCACTAAAGACCGAGGTTGTGGATGACATTTTATTTTAAAGTATTATCAAGAAAGTATTATTGGTGACATGTAAGGTGTAAGGTGTATCTATATATAAAATAAATATTTCACTTTACACATAGCAATGAGACAGTACATGTATTTATGCATAAGTGTCGTAGCCAAAGTGTCTTGATTTGTGGTGATAGGTCCTTTACAGATTAAAAAACTACACAGTAGCAAATACGAAGCAGACTTGGCTCGCCCGTGTTCGGATCATCTTTTGAGCTCTCAAAGGAGAACAGGAGAGTCCCCAGTTGAGCCTGGGAGGTATGTGTGTTTCGAAGCCCCCATAAACCCTACTTCATGTACTCCCACTGATGTCTTCGTGTCGTAGAGTGGTCCTTTGGGCAAGACACTTAATCCCACAGTTGGCCTGGAAAGCCCGGTCCACTGAAAGCTCTACGAGGGCTCACTGTTGACGTCACCACCTGCAGGAGGATCATGTGAGGGGCTGTTGCAGCTGTGTACTGGGAGCAGCTCGATCCTTGACTGAACACACACACCACACCCACCACACCACACTCAGAAATGGATTAAGTTTAAGAACTATGGATGGAATGTGAAGGTAGATTCTGTAGTACATACTGTATGTGTAGTTATTTTCTTTAGTACAAAAGTTTTAGTTTCAGTTGTACAAATGTTATTGATTCTGTAGTACATTGTTTGTAGTTCTTTATGTTACCGCACTATATGAACATTCTTCTTTCTTCGTCGATCGGTGTTGATTATATGTTATTACGTTGACCACGATCGTGTTCCATTGAATTCACGTGGAGGAGTTAATGTCTTTAGTTTTACTTCTGTCATATGACCATTCCTATGTGTCTGATAAACGTATAGCAGCCTTCGTACTTCATTAGTCGTCGTATGACTCCGCACACCGAAGACAACAACGCCTTCTGATAATGTTGTCATTGCGAAACATCTTTTCTGGTACCTACTTATGTTCCTACTATGGAGTCTTGAGCCTCATAAATGTGTGCGTCCATATGCATAGTGATGTTCAGTCTCAACTCACGCACTGAAAACAGGCCTGTGAGAGACTATGCCAGACCTTTTTGTTTGTCGCTGGTGACGCAATGTCCGGGATCCATGTTTGCATGGCCCTAAAGCTTCCCAGTTAATCTTGACACTGGAACGTCAGTTTCTGGGTCATATCTTGTTTTCCCTTGACGGCTTTTGCCTTTGTAATTTGAGCTGATACTGATATATCAATTTTAGCGTAAACAGCCGACACTTATTAAAATTAAGTTATCAATACACGCCCATTATTTTTTGGCACTTCCTAGACATGGCGAGCATGTGTTGAGGTCCGATTGCTTGTCTCACAGTGTCTCTCTCGAGACCCGCTATAACATCTTTAGTACCAAGAAATTAGGATGAATCGGTTCTGAGAATAGTACCCTATTTTGGAATTCACTGAAGAGTTTGTACTGTTGCCTCTTAACATGATGTGTCGCTCAGACCTTTCAGTGTTAGCATTTACAGCGATGTAACCTAATCTCAGAGGAAAGCGATATTTGTGGCATTCTATATTGAGCATCGATGTTATGTGAGTACAGTTATCTATTTTCTGGTAGACATCAAATGTGTTAATTCTGTAGTACATGTCGTCGTCCGTTCTGTGTTACACGTATAGACTTTAACTCAGAGATTTGTCGTGCGTGCCCGGTTTAGGGATCGATAGATTCAGGACGCAAGCGTGTGCTCCTGATAGGCAAGTTGGCGGAGCAAATAAGAATAAAATGGGATGCAGATCAATTTACACTACACGGAGACAATCGGACACCGTAGTAGCAAATAATCAGAGTTTTGACACAACTTTCCGACTCAGCTCCGGTGTCACCCCTAGTCATTCAAACAACTTGTCTAGGTTTGACAGAGATCGGCAGTACGGCCCCTCTCGGCGTTGTGCAAGCAAGAGCACAGTACACAATGTGGAGTATGAGCGCTTGTTTTGGGACGATTGTTCTCAGTCTCTAGGTCCAAGAGCTAAAATGCTAAATGCTGTCCCTCTATGCGATCTCTTCAAAACGATAGTCCAACCTCCTCTCTATTGGGAATTTTTGGCCTGATCCCGACTTAGCAGCATCGTGTAACCAAATCTCATTCATCCAGAACATACTTTACTCCAATTGCGTTAGCGGCTGAAAGAGACGGTGATGGAAGCAAGCAGAGAGATTGGTTCGCACCGCGTAGCGGATGCGAGGCGCAAAAAGGGCCTCCAACATTAGACGATATGCTAACTTTTTGAATAATCTATAAGAAGCCATATTAGCATTCTTAACTTCTGGATACAAGAGCTGAGAATAATGGTCCACTAATACCAAATAGCAGGCATAACTCCACCCTTGTGCACACTGTCACATGCGTCCACGCCATAGAGAGCTACTAGCATCATCATCTCTGCATTTGCTGTTAACCTGATCAGGAGGGCCTTTTGGCTGAATATTTCTATATGGTAAGCTCTTTTAGAATTGATACAGATTTTTAATATCACATTAAATTTTTTTGCTAGGTCTACTATATAGGACACCTGAATTTCTCCTAAAGGGTAAAAAACGACAAAGTAATCTATATGTACCAGCAGAATCTACACACATGTACATACATGACATCTGACACCTTGTGCATCATCATGCGCATCACTACTATATAGGGGCTGCTACAGGCAAAACCAACACCATATGTAGAGCCTTCTTGTATATCTACACAAATGTAACCAAACAGAACTACACATATTATTCTGAGAACTATCAAATATGAGCTGAAAGGAACTACGAAAGCCTTTAGTGGACAACTAAATATGTTATGCCGTGCTGAGAATCAGGAAGTACTCCAAAATGCAGGAATGCCAAAACAAAGTTCAAGTTGCTACTAATGATAAATAAATAAAACGATCACAGTGGTGAAAACAAAACTCAAAAGACACCAGCTAAAGGAACATCACATCGTCTACAGCAAGAAACATCGAACAAGAGAACAGACATTGACAAGATGAGCAGGAGCAGCAACAAGACACGAGGAACACATGGTACATATATGTACACACAGAGAGACAGTGAGAACACATCAGGGCGTGTACAGACACTCAAGACGGGTGAGAACAGGAGCATGGGAAGTCCAACTAAAAACTAAACTCACCAGAAGCGAACAGATGTGCAAAATAACAAAATCCACACCATGACAAAAGCAACTACCAAATATGAACCTAACATGAGACTACATGTCTACTTATGTACTACAGCGAACTAGTGCACACGTATTTGTACCACTGAACGATGCTCTCCGCGCGACTGTACTAAAGAACTACACAATACAGAAATGTACTTCAGACAGAGACTACACTAATCCAACTCATGGTCCTTATCGTCTTCACACTCTTAATGCACTTCTATTACACGCGTGTCGGAGATGAGGTGTTATTCACTCAGTCTCATATATGTGCATCCGCAACAGTGCCGAGTCAACACTCTAGATAGAGCGACACAGTAACAGACCCCAGTCACTGATCACTGACTTCTAGCAGCTGGTGAGATCCCACAGGAGGAGCATGAGACTTTCAGTTAGGATTGTCTTGGCAGGCCAACAGAGCGTGATTGAAGTGTCTTGCCCAAGTGACACAAACGACAGCGATATCGTGAATACAGTGGGAGTCATGAAGTCTGGAGCCTTATTACTGGTGACTGGCTCTTCGAAGCAAAACCATCAATCCTCAGGCTCTCAGAAGTCCTATGCTCTACCAACTGACCATCTGTTAGCGCCCTTCTGCGGTGCAACGAAACATCATCTTCATCAATACAGTTAATGGACAAGTGATAACTTAAGGCTCATATTTTATGAGGATTTTTTTTAAACAACAAAAGCCAGAGCAAGAAAAGTAACAAAAACAAATAAATCACAAAGAACATCTATGATATACGTAGTAACTACATCCAGTAGCTCAAAAAACTACACTATATACCGCAAAAGACTACACAAATGCAGAATAGTAACTACAGCAAACATCTACAACAGAACTACACATATTAGAAACCATTGAACCTAAATATTTACTAAAGACCACACACCATAAGTACCACATTATACTTTTTGAACATCACTTTACAAAAGAGACTAAGACTGTACGTAAACACACAACCAATACACGATTAACTAAGTGATTGAGTGTGAACATCACCTCGTCAGCAGTCCTTCTAGTATTCATTGTAACTTAGCTTATCTGCAATGACCCTTAAAGTGGCTGATGACCGCTCTCATGTACATAAAAGAATTTTCTTTTTAGAGCCTCGGAGTTATTTCCTCCCGGCGCAAAAAAAATAAAAATGATTTGGGTAAATCATCGGGGAGGCTCACCTGAATCACATCCAATAACGATTGACCACTATACAGAGAACAGTTGGAAGAGCGAGCGTCCTGCAGTGTGAAATCAATTCAGATCCTAATGTATTTGTATGTCTAGTATTCGATCTACTTTTATTGTGTGCGTCGAATCTCTCAAAATTACGTATACTCTGAGTGCTACTATCACAATTAGCAATTTCTTACGAATTACCATCCAACACTTATCTCAGATCGATGTTACTGGCAATAGAAATCATTATACGTACTACTCTAATACCATGACTTACTTAAAAGATATTGACAGCAGAATCGATCGCGTTTCTTAGTATACAAATGAGTAATAAGGATGAAGTGTGTTAGAGGCCAGCACAAACAATACCCGAATCGTCACTTGACTCCAGATTAAAAACTACTAAACATCAGACTAGATAAATCACGGTTAGAGGATCATGAAAACACATAGATAAAGGATTACTATGTCTTATTGATCCCCATGTCTTCAGGAGAAATTGCCTTTGGTGTACTCTTAGAAACTAGCAGAATGACTCCATCCAAGTAAGACTTGTATGTAAACAGTTCTTACTCGCCGAAGCAAACTATCAAGTGCGATCTCATTGCAAATGTTCCATTCGGCAGACGTTAAGTTGATAGGTTCTGATGCTCCACTGAGCGGCCCGTAAAGTGTGCTATGATCAGAGCGGTGTTCTGGTACTACCCAGAGCCTGCCCTGGTAGACCGACTCATCAACGCATACTAATCATCCGTATTGCTCATCTTTAGACAGTCCAGTATGTACCCTTATTGAGCTATTAATATTTTAAAACTTAGTGGATATCATGAAGTAGTCTGCTTCCAATCAATAGTGTTTTGCCCCTAATTCAAGCTACATACTTGCTCGTATCAAGTCAATTCAATTAACTTAGATTTTCTACAGCCCTAAATCGCACACATAATTACAGGATAATAGCAAACCGCATGCAACAGTCAAATTCGATTCTACCAATTGGTCCATAACGAGATGCTGGAATATATAACGCATTCGTGTCAAAAATGTAGTAGAATTAGCAATTTTCATAATTGTCCCAACTTCCATGGAAGTCATCACTAGTCCTTATGAATATCCCTGTTCTAGCATAACTGCAAGGAATATACTCAAAAGTACAAGTGGAGGTATAAAAGTTATGAAGAACCTGCCAGTGTGAGGGCGACCGCCTCCGCGAATGGACTGGGCTATGACATAACAATAGTACTGCTGTCACTCTATTTGGATTGTTTCTAGGACATGTAGGAAAAAGGAATTCCTATCCATTTCCAAAAATGCGGCTGACTGTGACACCATAAACATGCAGAATGCATCACTACTTTTGTGTCATGTATTTCAATTCATAGTTCAGAAGAGGTGCAAACTACATTTCAGTGACGTGGAGTATCTATAATGTTATAGCACGTTGTGATATAATGAAGCATGGAGACAACAGGTTGCTGGTGGTATATCACAGACAAATGCCCTTGGAAAGATCGGGAAGTGGGCGTCTCCGGCTTTTAGCTTGCTGTCCTGGTGGTTATTGGTTGACTGGGTGTGGGCGTTGCTGGTATTGATGAGTCGAGGAAGAGCAGCCTGTGGCCTGGCAGCAACAGCCGGGTCTACCACGGTGAACTTTCGCGAAAGCTCCATTTGTGGAAAGAAGCTGTTGGCACGACATCTTCTGCCAGAGGGAAGAAGCTGGAACATGGCTTTTCCAGGGGCCAGAAGAGTCATTGATTATTCAAAGAGCTCCTGAATGTGACCTCCAAAGCAGAAGCAGTTATTGTGCGTAAAGGGTTGGTGGTGGTGGGAGGAGCCAATGGCACAGACTGGTTGCCTCACTTCTGTCAGTGTGCCCCTGGGCAGCTGTGGCTTCAGTAGTAGTTTATCACCACCATGTATGGAGTGAATGAATAATGACATGTGAAGCCTCTTTAAAGGTATAAAGGAGGATTTTCCCATATTTTAGGAAAGAACCGCCCTTTCTACTTTTTGAACAAAACTCTCTGCTCTTATTGGACAAGGACGTATAAACAGAATGATTGACATTTGGGAGGACCAATAGTGTTGATGATCCACCCGGAAGTAAAAAATCCTCTTGGATACCTTTAAGTGTCCAAAAAAGTGCTGTATAAAACCCATGCATTATTATTATTATTATTATTATATTATTATTATTATTATTATTATTATTATTACTATTGTTCTTCTTATCATTATTATTATTTTATTATTACTATTATTATTACTAGTAGTAGTAGTAGTATTATTACTATTGTTTTTATTATTAATATTTTATCATTACTATTGTTATTATTATTATTATTATCATTGTATTATTTTAGTATTACTATTGTTATTATTATTATTATTATTATTACTATTGTTATTATGATTATTTTTTATTACTATTGTTATTATAATTATTATTTTATTATTTTATTATTACTATTGTTATTATTATTATTATTATTATTATTATTATTACTATTGTTATTAATTTTAATTATTGTTATATTGTTATTATTATTATTACTATTGTTATTATTATTATTATTATTATATTTACACTATCATTATCTGATATTCTGTTTGCAGTCGGCCTATGAATTTCTTCCCCACACTACGCTAACGTCGCAGCAGTTTAATCGTGCACTTTTAATGATCTTGTGGCTTTACTGCACCTGATGGCACATTTTCATATTTTATTTCATGCTTCTGGTTTGATGGTGAATAAAACCTCCTGCCGGTGAACAAGTATACTATGAAGGAATGGATGAATGACGTTGTATTTCAGAAGATTGGAGGGCATTATGGGGGTTAACTATTGTGTTTATGAGGAACTCTAACCAATAGGAAAGTGAAGAACTAATTTATACACAAAACTTCCTTCATTACTTTTGATACAGTAGTTTATTGGCAGATGGCATTAGACAGAACTTGCTTGGCTTGGTCTAATGTCAACTCTTTATGTAAATCTGTGCTTTTTAATTCCCCTTTGGAAAGAAACACACTTTTTTAATTGAATTGTAAAGCTGCCAATGTCCTTCTTTCACCATTTTCTGTTTTGTTCCCCTTTTAGGATGATTCCAATGAGTAGCCGGGCCTTTTCAGTGACTAACCTTGTCCCGGGGATGCAGTACGACCTGTGTGTCCTGTCCATCTGGGAGGACAGCGCCACCACCCTCACCGCCACCAACATCCTGGGCTGCGTCCAGTTTGTGACCCGCGAAGACTACCCCCAGTGCCAGTCCCTGCACAGCGGCTTCATGGGCGGGACTATGATCCTGGTCATCGGGGGCATCATCGTGGCTACGCTCCTGGTTTTCATCATAATTCTCATGGTGCGCTACAAAGTGACCAGCGGCATCCAAGCCTGCAAACTCCCGGCCATGAGCAACACGTACTCGCAGACCAACGGAGGCTTGAACCGGTTTAACGGGGCTCCTCCGCAGGTCAAGTCCACGGTGGTGGTGATGAGGGAGGAGATGGTGGAGTTCAAGTGTGGATCTCTGCAAAGTAGCTTATCGTCGTCCTCCTCTTCGTCAAACTCTCTGGACGGGGCGAGAGGTCCGGCTGACCACTACAGCGTCCATGGCAGTGAGTGCAGCACCCTGCCGAGTAGCAAATACAGGCGTCACGGGGCTAAAGCACGGCCGAATTTGGACCATCTTTTAGGGGCGTTCACCGCGCTGGAGCTGCGTGGGGCATTGAGGGACGGCCAAGGAGCATCCGGACCCTCCACCACGTCCTCAACAGCGATGCCTGTGGCCAAAGCTCCGTCTGATAAAGAGCCTCTGCTGGGAAGAGCCGAGTCTACCACCATGCTGGGTCGCCTGCTCGGGCTGCCGCAGGAAGGGAAGCCCAAACGGAGCCTCTCCTTTGACATGGGGCACGTGGGCGCGGCACAGAATCGCAGCAACTACCCGCGCAGGATCAGTAATATCTGGACTAAGCGCAGCCTGTCGGTGAACGGCATGCTGCTGCAGTATGACAGTAGCGAAGATGAGAAGCCCGCTTTTGAGAGCTCAGAGTGGGTGATGGAAAGCACAGTTTGAGGGTAACTCCGCAGACGGCCTGTAAATCTCCTCCAGAACCCGAGGCACGGCACAAAGACTGGGATTTCCTTTCGTGGTGGATTTGCCCGAAGGTATTGCATGACTCTATCCATTAGAGAACTGTGTGGGACAAGCCACTTAAAGGTTTTCTGACGGCTCTGATCTCTATCTGACCATTCAAACAGACAAACAGTCAGAATAAATGTGAGTACTTCAAAAAAACATGGAATTTATTGTGTCAATACGGCTCTTGTGGAATTATCCTGACTCCATCACCGCCACATCGGAGTCCTCCAGAGAAAAGGCGCCGGTGAATTTAAAGTGGATTTTACTACGACTGTATGAAATGAACTGAATGAGAAGGATTTCCACAGACTTTGGTGACCAGAGTCTTTCTGACCACATTGACTTTTGCGAAAACAAGAAAAGGACCTATAAAGAGTATAGAGATATAGAACTTCTTATTTTCCACCCATTTTTTATTTATTTTTTTCTATCATTTGACTATTTATTATTTTAGGCTCATCGGGCATACTGCCTACTCGCATCTGTTACCTTTATCAGTGTTTTCACCGTGAAAATGACACGCACAATTTGATATGGCAAAAATGAACAGACTTGTATTTCTACCTCAGGTTCCTTAAAATATGAGGTTATTTGTTTAAGAAAAAGTACAATTCTAAAGTCACATAAAATACAAGCTGAAAGCACATAGCTCAGTCATCAAAAGCAGTGTTGTAGATTTTAGTTTTACTTGCTTGAAGACTTTATGTTTTGCACGTTTGGCTCTGCTTGGTCATCTGTACCTCTCCAAACAGAATCGGTCACTTTTGCCTTAGGGTAAGAATTCAGGAAGTGTTGAACTAAAGCATTCAAACTCAGTAGTAGTTCTCCCTTTCTATATTTAATTGCTTTTAACCCACAAAATCAGACATGCGCTTTAAGTCACTGAAGGTTTGCAGGTTAAGTGCCAAACTAGCCTGGTCTTACCACACCATCGTACTCATTTCATTTTGTAATAAGGTCTGGATTTGCTCCATTTACTCCGTGAACAGGTGGGAGGGGCTAACTCCTTTTGCAGATTGAAACCATTGGATCTGAGTTTACTGTGACGTATGTAATGAGCCCGAGTGAGGCATTTAGCATTTAGCCTAGCTTTAGCCTAGCTTTAGCCATCTCCTTTGCCACTAACGGAGCCCGTGGGGAGTAGAGCCACTACATCTTTGCCTCAATGACATTTACTAAACATTCCTCTTGCTCCGGCTTCAGTTTCTTGATATTTGGATTGAACCAGAACAGATTATTTTACTATCGCATTCTCCGACAAACTACAACCAGCAAATTCAGCACAAACTCTGGACGTCACCGACACCGACCTACAACACCCGCCTCCCCCGCTCTCTGATTGGTCGGAGGGGATTCAACCGAGGAAACTGCAGCCACTAGGATCAGACCCAGACGTACATGTAGGAAATGATCATGGACCAGAGTTTACACATGGTAAGACCAGACGTACATGTAGGAAATGACCATGGACCAGAGTTTACACATGGTAAGACCAGACGTACATGTAGGAAATGACCATGGACCAGAGTTTACACATGGTAAGACCAGGCTAGTGAATCCAATGAGCTTGGAGTATATTTGGATCGTTGGCTGAAGCTTCGAACCAAAGAAAAAGCGTTAAACATGGATTTGGTCAAAAAGCAACAAACAAAAACACAAACCAAACCTTGTATATCCAAATGATTCTTTGAAATGGAAGCACGATTATTCAAAGTGGTTCAATAAATCTACCAATACTCCCATTAGACCATTTTCACTGGAACTGTAAGTATTTTTTGAGCTAACCTGTACATTGCAATATAACAATCTCCAACTGTAAAAAAAAAGTCAGATTTTCCGACACATCTGGATGCCTTCTTCATCTGCAAGTTTCTGCTGCAGTTACAAAAGGGTTGATGCCCATTTGTTTTTTGTTTTTTTAACAATATTTCTTTACAGGGTGTGACATTATGTATAGACTTTTGTACAATAACTGCTGAGAATGTAAAGAAGGATATTACCAGATGTAGTCATTTTATTTTTAATGTGAAGCAAAACAGTGAGAAGGTGCTTTCCTGTGGTGAACCAACCTGGTCGAAGTGTTGGACAGCTTTCTCAGAGCGGCTTAAACACAGTCGATATTATCAAATCAAAATGGATCTGTATTTACGGACACACACATGCTCAAAAAGAACAACAATTGCACATTAGATAAGAAGCACAATGCGTTTAAACTAGATCCTCAAAACATGTCAAAATACACAGGAATTTGTCATATTTGTCAAATCACATAAACTTCTTTCAGAAAGCTGTCAAAGAATACACTTTTTAAATGTATACTTGACTTGACGTAAAGATTCTCACTTCTAGAAACAAAAATGAGGAAAAAAAATAATGTTTCTGTGTGACATTTTGCTACAAAAGATATAAAATATGAAGTACTATGAACCAAAGCTGACTGTTTGTGTCTTTGTTCCCCATTCCGTCGTGTTTAGGTGCCGTGAATTAAATTAGCTTAAGACATGAGGCAAAAAGACATCAGGAGGTTGCTTTGTTCAATTGGCATTTATTAGCAGCTTTTAGCAAGATCCCAGACGGCTCCAAAGTCTGGTCCACGGGCGCTCCTGCAGAAGTTAGCAAGAGTCTACGTAAGTCTGTGAAAGTCTCTACAACTCTGCCAAAGTCTCCACAACGCTGCCGAAGTCTCCACAACTCTGCCAAAGTCTCTACAACTCTGCCAAAGTCTCTACCACTCTGCCGAAGTCTCCACAACTCTGCCAAAGTCTCTACAACTCTGCCAAAGTCTCTACATCTCTGCCAAAGTCTCTACAACTCTGCCAAAGTATCTACATCTCTGCCAAAGTTGCTACAACTCTGCCAAAGTCTCTACAACTCTGCCAAAGTCTCTACATCTCTGCCAAAGTCTCTACATCTCTGCCAAAGTCTGTCACAGAGAAAGATGGCAATTATATAGGATTTAGATGCTGTTAGATAGATAGACAGATAGATAGATACTTTATTGATCCCCATAGGAGAAATTCAGGTTGTCCAGTAGCAGTAAAAATAAAAATGAAATTGATCATTCTGAAAACATAATAATAGTAATAATCAACAACAGCCCTTCAGGTCACAGCAGCAGAGGTGGAGAAGCCTCTGGGTGGAGCAGGAAGGGGTCAAAAGGTGTAGTACCCGCTTGGTTCATAATATTTGGAAACATGATTGGCCAAACATGTCATAACTATGATCTAAGTATGGCTTTGTCATGGCCCAAACTTCAATCTACATGAGTTAGTACTATCTTTAAACTGTACATTTATACTTTGTATGCTGTTTAAAGTACAAAAGTAAGACATTTTGAAACTTCATAGAACAGTGTCTTTAATAATTAGCAAGCAATAATATACAGATATTCACAGTGAGATTCCGTCACTAACACACTGCTCTATAACGTGTTCATCGACCAAACCAGCCAAGGTCCGTGTGCTGAAATCAGGCCACTCGCTGCTGACTCACCGAGCCAATGCCCTTATTACAAATCACTGGTACATGCAGCTCCTGGCCTGCGCCCATAATAAGACCTTAATTCATATAATCTGTCAGTGAAGGTGCTTACGGCAGCGCAGAGTAAATATAATCTGCACCAGGGACACTGAGGCTGCGTGAGGAGACGGCCAAGTGCACCTGCCGAGGCCCCAGAGCACAGCCGAGCCATTGCCTCTTAAGTGCACCACTATTAGCGCAGTGTGTAGGAGAGTTTAAACAACAAAATGCTCATTGTGCGCAAACACGACCTTTCTCAACGGCCCCCTTGTGGCCGATTGAGGCGTCGCTGTCGTCGGTAAAAAAAGAGAAGCTGCAGTAGAGAGTGTGGAGCTGAAAACACTTGATACATATATCTAAAATGTTAGCTACAAGTGCTGAATGGAAGTTAAACAAACCATTTCAAGGGGACAACTACGAGGGTGGGATGCATGAAGGAGGAACACAAAATGCAGGACTGAAAATGTAATCCAATACAAATCCAGAACTGAAAACACAGAGATAAGGGGCGGGGCTACAATCCACAAGACGGACAGGAAGAAAACGCAAACCACATAAGAACAAATATGTCCCAATACCCACACAGCACCTCCCCTACGAAGCATCTGTTTGAAGTGCACGTAAGGGTTTGAGTGGCAGGTTACAAGCGTGCAAAAAAGGCGGAATTGGGACAGTGCAGGTGACGTCATTGACTGGTCAAGAGACGGTCATTTTCAGACCTAAACTTCATAAAAATCCGATCCTGTGGGAAACAAAAGTACTAGTTGATGAGTTGCTCCACACACGTTAAAATTAATGTATATTGGTTATTCGTAATTTGAGATAGCTGTATAATTTTAAGTTAAATGTGGGTAACGAATTTGTTAGCATAGAATGTGCGTAATTCTTCATCAGACATTTATGCCTCTTTCACAGCAAAACTTATTTACACACATACTGCATATATATTTAAAAACGTCCACTTAAATGCATTTTCCTGACGTTTTGGTGTGTACCGCAAAGAATTATGGGCAATATCCTTCGCCAGAGTGCGCTTAGATGCAGGCTACGGCAAAGTGTGGATCAGGGGCGCAAAGGGGGCGGAGCCAAAGACCTCCCTGGAGGATTGGGACACCCTACGCACTCGCACCCATCACACTGTAAACCCTGACAAGTAAAGTTTACTTGAAAAAACCATGGAAATAAATTGCGTATTAACTTCACTTGAATTCCTCGAGTATATCCTTTACTTGATATTACCAAGTAAACTCTAGTGATTGCAATAAAGTTTAAATTTCTACTTATGCTCCGACTGGGAATCGTACTCAGACCCCTGTAGTTGAGAGGCAATGGTGCTACCCACTCAGCCACCAAGACACCCTGGCATTGTCACACCTGCCTCATTAAAGACTCTACACATCAAAATGTCAAAAGTG